GAGACCTGTAAATGTGACTAACTGACCACAGGTGTCAATCACATAGGACTTATGCAGTCAACGAGGCCAATGCGGTAAACAACGCCTGTGTGGTCCCACACAGAGTGTGAAGGCTAACAGCACAAGTCACATGATTATCACAAAACACACAAAGCCTTTATGAGTTGGAACAGCAGGCTGGGTGTGTTTGTCCACTTTGAGCTTCATCCAAAGCCTTACTTTGTTTAGTTTGGCATTAAAAAATAATAATAAAAAAATTAATGATAATTTGAATTTGTGTGTGTGAGAGATTGTCCCGCTCAGTTAATGGGTTAAAGTGCATCAATGACTGCAGCCCTCTATCTGTTTCTGAAATTCAAAACAACCAGCTGTTTGCTTGGAGCACTAAATGTAGGGGATAAATAACGTTTTCTGAATCTGAATCTGAATATCACTTAATAAAAAGCATTTTTATTTATTTATTTATTTATTTTCATATTGAAGATGTTGGCTTGTCAAGACTCCAACAATCTTTGGCAATGATGAGTCACACAATTTTCATCTAATCAAGCCTTTCCACTCCCACTCATCACAAAGGACACATACACCGCAAATGATTCAGGCCATTCAATAAAATACTGACCTTGGTGGATGTTTGAATGCGTGTTCTCAACTGCCAATGTGATTCCTCTGTCAGTCCAGTTCAGGGCCGCCGTAGAGGAAAGACTTTAGGCCGGCAGCCAAAACAGTCGGCGGCCGTTCTATGAAATGACTCACAAGAAAGCTGTGCTGTGGTAAACGTCAGTGTGTTTTGGGATAATTAAAGGCGAGGCTTTGGGGGGTTGTTTCAGCGAAAATATGATCACATAGTTGGGAAACAAAGGCCTAGGTGATGAGTGAGTGATCAGTGTTTGATCTCCTCAAGGCCATCATGCGTCAGATGGGGCGCTTGGTGGAGCGACTAGAATAACTAAGGCTGCCCTCAGGTTACCGCTGACATCCACCTCCATGACAACCTGCCGTCTCACTCAACCAACCTTAGCGTTTATCTCCTGACAAGTTTGTCTGTGCACTTCATGATAATTTTGACTTTTTTAACCACAAAAGACCTTGACCAATGTTGCTGTGGTATTTGTGGAGTCAGTGGAGGCCCTGGTTGGACCTGTCTTGGGAATCCGCGCATGTTGCACATGTCCTAGTTAAAGATCCACATTCGGAGTACAGTACTTCTCCAAGCCCTGTAATTGTTGGGTGTGTAGACTTCACTGGAGAATACTTGAGTCCCTGAATCAAACAAAAGGTTCGGCAATCCAATATAAACATCCATGATTAATATCCTTGAAATGCTGGTGCAATCAATTGATCTCAAACAATCGTCTTGATGAGACTACAGTACACATGGCACGTTTGCAGACTCCAGTTTAGTTCACTGACCCGAGTAAGTGGACTCAATTGAAACAGTGAACTCAGATGATTCACAAAAAACAGGCGATTGGCGAGCGTTAATGCACTCCCAAAAACACCGCTGACTCAGATGATTCGTGAATCAGAACTCGAGTTGCCCTCGAAGAGAAGCACAGAGTAGATGTGGGCATACTTATTGGCCCCTGGCTCAATGCCTGTACATTGGGGATCACCCCGGTGGACGGGAGGGTAGCCTCCCTTTTCGTGTGGCTGTGGGGACCGGTCCTGATCATTGTCTGTGCCAATGCACCAAACAGCAGCAACAAAATACCCACCCTGTTTTGGACGCTCACGTGAAGAGAGGGATTGAGTTGTCAACTGATCACCACCTGGTGGTGAGTCGGCTTTGATGGTGGGGGAAAAATGCTAGTCTGACCTGTTTAAAGCATTGTACAGCAATTTCAGTTGCATTTTATGGATGAAAATTGCTAAATGAATAAAGAATTGATTGATCTGCGCTCACACTCACACCTAGGGACAAATTTGAATGTTAAATCAGCCTGCCATGCATGTTTTTGGAATGTGGGGGGAATCCAGAGTACCCAGAGAAGACCCACGCAGACTCATTCAAGTGAGCAGAGTCACCAAATACACAAAAGAC